GCCACAAACCAACTGCCTCGATTTCTAAAGAACACGATGTCCACTCAGGCATGGATGCCCCCAACCGTAGGGTTCATAGTAACCCCGCAATCATGTAGACCACGCATGCTGGGTAGCTATCGAGGAGCTCTACTTTGGAGCAAGGAAATATAACGACCACTTGGGCGTTTTTTAGAGCGAAGCAAGAGCCAAGCAAGCACAACCTAAAGAGCAACCGCAGGGGGACTAACTTGTTTGCAAATTTGGTAGACTGTCATGTCATTAAGTACAACTCCTGTTTCCTCGTCGACAACGCCGTCATGGCCTGAAGTGCTATAGGGGTCGAGAGCAACGTCAGCGAGCACCAGAACATCTGGGAAGGCATCCTTGATTGCCATGATGATACGAGGCATTAGCCCATCGGGATTGCTGCTCTCCTCACCTGCCAAGCAAACACCCCCAGATGCCACACTTGACGGTATCAACTGGTCAGCCAGAAGCCTGCCACCCACCCACGCTGCAAAGTACAGCACGACGCAGAAACCGCCGCTCCCCCCCCAACCCCAGCCCTGCCCCGTTTCCCAGATACAGTTCCACCTACCCAGGGGGCTCTTGAGGTCATCGTCCACCTTGGGGAACAGCATAAAGGCGTTCACACCATAACGGCGGGCCTCCTCCACTTCTTTTAACACGTCTGCGGGACTCAGCCGGCGGTGCCCCGGCAGCGACGCTATCGGCTCACTCCTTTCCTGCGGGAGGCAAACAGAGCTCGCAGCATGCGTACACCTTGCTTGCGGGTATCTACGAGAGGTGGTAGNTAAATCAAACTGGAGGGCTTCACGAGGCTCTCTTGCACAAGGCGGCGCGTGGCGTGATCTTTGCGGTTGCGGCGAGGGCGCGCTTGAATTGGCAGCCAGACCTCCCCATAGTTGTTGTTTTCAAGAGGCCCCCTGGGTGCAATAGGGTCATAGTCTTCATCTGCATATCCCGCATCGTCCTCCGCATCATCATCATCTTCTTCATCATCATCTAAGTCCGCCTCCAGCTCCTCATCACCCTCATCATCGTCATCATCATCTTCGTCTTCCTCCCCATCCAACCCCTCCAGCATATCGCTCCCAACTCTCAAAGCCCGCTGCTTGGGCTCAGAAAGCCTCTTGCCCCTGAGGTCACCTCCGGCGGCGCCGCCTCGCACGCTTCCTCGGCCAGCAGCCGCGGACCCCTCGTTGAAAGCCTTCCGCATGGAGGCCAGCGCCCGTCCTATGCGGTCTGACGCGCCAACTGCGGCGGCAGGCGCTCTCCGCGTGGGCTGCTGCACAGCAGAGCAGCAGCGCACATCATCGGAGACCTCACACCTGCGCCTCGCAACGCCCGATCCGCAGCTAAAGTACAACACTTCCATGGTGCATGCATGCAGCACGCATTCGGAGTGCAGACACGCAAGTAAGCCGTTTCAGACGTAGAACAGCCAGAGCAGCCCCGCCCAAGAGAACGGAGGCGCCGCTTTCCATTTTTCCGAGCTGCAGCAAAGGACCAGCTAATGCCCAGTCTTTCACACCCTGCTGAGGCCTATGTGTGATGTCCTCAGCCGCAGCCTGCGGTGCTGTTGCTGTGGCTGCAGCTTCTCTTCGCCATCCTCTGTGGTGCTTATTTGCGCGGGAGCTGCGGCACGACCTTTCTGCNTGGCTGCAGCTTCTCTTCGCCATCCTCTGTGGTGCTTATTTGCGCGGGAGCTGCGGCACGACCTTTCTGCTGAGAGGGAGCGGCCGGCCCTATCTATACATGCATAACTCCCCTAAGGGGCTGTTGAGTTCAGAGGGCCCTCTCTGCACCCCGCTCTCGCAAACTGCACTGTAGGCTTCTCTGCCATGTTGAAGGCACACTGCTTCTTCACAGAAGACAGAAGTAGTCTTCTCTGAAAGCGCTACCTCTGGCCTCTCTCCCCCGTGAATTTCAGAGGCATATACACCTCAAGGCACACGTAGATTCCACTCGCATTCTCCAGAGGCAAACATACCTCTGCGGCCTTCGTCGTCAGGCCATTCCTAGAGTTTCCGCCTGCAGGCCGTCTTAATGCAGATCGCCTGCCGCTGGGCATGCGGTCCGGGAGCAATGATATGGCGAGAGAGCGAGCAAAAAGCATTCCAAAAAGGGTTGCAACGGCAGCAAGCGCGGCAAAGCTGCTCTGCTGCTGCTGTTGCTTCTCTTCGATGCGGATCGAGGAATGACGCCCAACAGCTACTGCCTTCAGTCTAACGCCCCGCGTCGCGTATAAGGTAGCGGGGCCTCTCGTTCAAAGCCCTCATAAGCAGACTGTGAAAGAGCACCGGCTTGTGCTCAAGTGACCCTCACCACGAAGCATCCATGCACACACGACAAACATCAAGAAATGCAGGCGAAGCGGGCGGAAGCAAACCCTAGTACCTAAGAACAGCAACGGTGTGCCTCCAGCAGGGCTAGGCGCCCCGCTGCGGAGTTCCTTACTTGAGAGCCTGATGAAGC